GGGTAATTTACTGTAAATTATTTAATAGCTTATCTGCAAACGTCACAAAGACCATATTTCTATGACGACCAGGTACCGGCACCCAAAAGCCCTTTTTCATGTCTCTGTCGTTAAGAGGTTTTCTCATGCGAGCCTCAGGGGAAACGGACTGCGATATATGCCATACTTATTAGGTAACAGCAATAACAGAGGAGCATTTCAGATGGGCCGATTCGGTTTCTACTGCACAGAAAATAAAAAGCGCAAGTATTGTTGGAGCTTTTTTTTGAAGAGGTTAGCATAAAAATGAGCTGATAGACTTGAAATTCCCAGGACCAGGATGGGGTGAACTGAAGTGAACCTAATGCAGACATGGCGCGTTGAGATGCAGAAATGTCAGATTAATGCGGGTATAGCATTATAGTGATGTGAGTGAGGACCTTGAGAGCTGAGGGAGGGCATAATTAGGTAGGGCTGCAGAAATCAACTTGAAACAATGTCCCGAAACCATGCAAAGCCAGCACACTGTCCCCTAAAATCACTGATGAATGGCTGAGGAGTTTGTAAGAGATCAAACAAGGTAAGATAAAAATAACCAAGTTATGAATTACACATAAATGCATTAACATACATAACTGCATTGTCATAAGTACAAAATAAATATATATAATAATGCATTTAATTTAAAACACCAAATTCACTGCATTCAACAATAAAATTCAACACAATTACTGTCAATACAAAAGCATTATATATATATATATATATATATAAAACACAAAATATATAAAAAATATATATATGTAATAAATTATTCAAAAATCATATAATAAATATAATAAAACGTGTAGAAGGTGCTTTAAAAGAAAAAAAATCTAAGATTCTTCAACTACTAAGAGAGGGTTTTTAGCATGCTGACAGTATGACAGTAAAAACGGTGACTCTTACTGTCAACATGCTAAAACCCTCTCGAAGTTCTTGCGTCACTAAATGCATCCCACTAAAAGCTCCGCCGACACAGCCAACAAATTCACCACCTTCAACAATAAATTTCAAGACAATTACTGTCAGAATACAAATCCACAAATGTCTCTCGCTATGAGCATCGCATTAAGACGATTTGTCATGTTAAAAACATCTTTCAACTTTTAAACATGGATCTCAAGACCTCTAAGTTCAGTTCTGTTGTGCTTGGTGTTAAGAACCCCGTCTCATGACGTCTGGTCAACATAAACAAGCCCTTAACCTGCATGATTTTACAGGGCTAACTGTAACCAGACGATTTTATAATGATCTATTTTTGCACATTCCTAATATGGACACTGTGGGAAAATAAGAGTGTAAAATAATTTCTCAAAAACCAACAGGCACTGTAGGTTCTTCCCTATACCGTTCTATCCCAAATGCAATGAGGTTTGAGTGCCTAGTGAATATGAACAGATTTGTCTGAATTTGTGGCCCTTCCTGCAGTTACAGAGTACAGTAAGTTAAACAGTCACACACTCAATCATAGATGGCTGCTGCTGTGCCATTATGGCAGAGAGGATGGACTTAAACTCCTTTGCTTGAGCCGATCACAGCACACACACACACACACACACACACACACACACTGCAGCCAAGCTCTCCAGATGATGAGCCTCGCTCCTGTGGATTACATAAGAAGTGGCATAGGCATCCTCAGGCAATGTCTGTGTGTGGGTGTGTGTGTGTGTGTGTGTGTGTGTTAGGCTCAGCTCTACATGCCTGACACTCAAAGCAAAACAAGTCACAAGCACTAACACACATAAATAACCTCCACAGCCATGTAAAAGCAAGTATATTTCATATCTCATGTGGAATCGTACTTTGGGACACATCTTTAATAAGTCTCACCAGTTTCAGCATTCTCAGCAACAGTGTAGCATCACTACTACTGATCATTAGAGACAAGATGAGATTCAAGCTGATGTGTAGTTGATAATGTGTGTGTTACTCTTCAATGTCCATTTTCCAATGGTAAATGGATGTTTCCAGCTGTGTCCGTAAGCTAAAAAAACCTGCCTTCTCAGGCAATATACTATGAAAGTAATTTTATTCCAACGCATTCATTACAAGCCCTGAACATGATCTCTTTAATAATCTGCAACCTATAATGGAGACGAGGCTTGATCATTGTGTCATATGTCTTCTTTAGAAATAAATACCCTTCATTAAATTTGAAGAGATGATCATTGTGAATAAAATTATCAGACTCACATTGGATTATATTCTAAATTACAGTGATTATGACTGTCAGCAATCAGTGTTGGAGACATATTTGTGAATAGCAGCCAACAATCTAACAGTCTACTGCAGATGTTGAAAACAGTTGAGCTGTTTAATATTTTTTGTAGAAACAGTTAAAAAGAACAGCATTTATAAGAGATATTAGAAACGTTAACTGTTACTTTTGATAAATGTAATGCATCCTTGCTGATTAATTTGTTTGTTTTTTTAAACTGACCCTAAACTTTTTTGGTGATTTCAAATATCAACAATGGCTACCAGAAATCGCTTACCCTGCCTTTAACTTATTCCAGTAAAGTCGCTCACCCAATGCTGAATGGAGTTGTACAGCTGCAGCTCACATGATGTATGTTGGGGGAGGGTGCGTGTCTGAACTAGCTGATGAATGAAATCAGCACCCTGATAAAGAGGGTGACTGGCACAAAGTGTTTTATGTATGTTGAAAATACAAAAATACTAATCTAAATTTAATGCTTCCTTGCTTTTTAATTTTTTTTTTTTTTTTTACTGACCCTAAACTTTCGAATGTTTGAAAGGCTTCTTGTTTCAAAAGCTGTCAGTGGTGTTTTATTGTCACACATTTACATTTACAATTAATCATTTAGCAGACGCTTTAATCCAAAGCAACCTACAAATGAGGAGAACAATAGAAGCAATCAGACCAACAAGAGAGCAACAGTATACAAGTGATGCGACTAGTCACTGAGCAAGGTTTTTTTTAATAAATTAGAAAAAACTAAGAGAAGAGAAGAGGTAAGTGCTAGTATTAATTGGTCGGGTGCTGAAGAAAAAGAAGTGTCTTTAGACGTTTTTTGAAAATGGCTAAAGACTCAGCTACTCGACACACACACAGACATTTCCGAAAGAATATCAACCAATATAAATGAGATAACATTGCAAAAGCAACAAAATACTATGAGATTTGTACCATGTATATCTGACCAGAAATACCAGTGTAGGCTACGTCAGTCACAGTTTTGCTAGTCCAGCCCAGATTTGTCAACTAACTCTAGCGCTGTAGCTTAGTAACAGAGATCAAAATCATTCACAAAATCAAAGGTAAGACTTCATTCATACCAACCCATTCAGATGAATCATGAGATTCCTTTTGCATTGCCGACAGCTCGGGATGAGACGTGAAGAAAAAAAGAAAGGACGGTTGCGCTAATCACAATTTGGAGTCTCTTAGGGAGATTTTCATTTGCCCTCATCTCACAGCAGCCGACATTTATCTGATCACAGTCACTCAAAGAGGCTAAGTATCACCGAACTCCTCTGAGAGCAAAGACGATCAGTTTCTAAAGAGGTTGTTCTCTGAAGAGCCGCCGCATGTATCAACTTCCACCAATATCATTCTGTGTCAAGCGAGCTGTTCTTCTGACTTGACTGACAGCAAATTATCCCATAGTGACGGCAGAAGAAATATTTTCAATTAGAGCCGCACTCACTGTGAAAAGTAATGTCATGCCTCTGTGTGTACGAATGAATCGGGGAATGTGGAAATTCATTTCAAAACCAAAGGCCATCTATTTGAATACACAGTGTGAATGGAGAGTTTGATTGGACAGGAAGTTCTTTGCCAAATATCAACCAATATAAATGAGATAACATTGCAAAAGCAACAAAATACTATGAGATTTGTACCATGTATATCTGACCAGAAATACCAGTGTAGGCTACGTCAGTCACAGTTTTGCTAGTCCAGCCCAGATTTGTCAACTAACTCTAGCGCTGTAGCTTAGTAACAGAGATCAAAATCATTCACAAAATCAAAGGTAAGACTTAATTCATACCAACCCATTCAGATGAATCATGAGATTCCTTTTGCATTGCCGACAGCTCGGGATGAGACGTGAAGAAAAAAAGAAAGGACGGTTGCGCTAATCACAATTTGGAGTCTCTTAGGGAGATTTTCATTTGCCCTCATCTCACAGCAGCCGACATTTATCTGATCACAGTCGCTCAAAGAGGCTAAGTATCACCAAACTCCTCTGAGAGCAAAGACGATCAGTTTCTAAAGAGGTTGTTCTCTGAAGAGCCGCCGCATGTATCAACTTCCACCAATATCATTCTGTGTCAAGAGAGCTGTTCTTCTGACTTGACTGACAGCAAATTATCCCATAGTGACGGCAGAAGAAATATTTTCAATTAGAGCCGTACTCACTGTGAAAAGTAATGTCATGCCTCTGTGTGTACGAATGAATCGGGGAATGTGGAAATTCATTTCAAAACCAAAGGCCATCTATTTGAATACACAGTGTGAATGGAGAGTTTGATTGGACAGGAAGTTCTTTGCCGTCTCTGAGGTGGGAATAGACCTTAGTGACTTGTTCGGTATAATTAATATCTGAATTTATGTACTAGGAATCATTCATTAGGGGGGATGAGAGAGTCACTGAACTAATGTGATGTGCCTTACTGATCCCAAATCCCAATTCAGTAACAATAAACGTCCTTTTACAAAAGACTTATGACAAGTCTGACTGACAAGCCATGACAGCGGAACAACTCCGTTAAGCACAACAACTGGCATCACTTTAAAGCAGATGAAGCTTATGTTGTGGTGTAGCATAATGTAGTCACATTTCAGAAAGGCAAAACTAACAGTGGGTCATTCATGGCCTAATGAATTTGTTATGAACTTGACAATGACAACCTTTAAACACAGCTTACACCTGATAACACAACTGATAAAGAAACTAAATACTTACTGACAGGTTCACACTGCATCTGAAACAGAGCACAGACGCTATTTAATTTCCATTGTGAAAAGGATACAATCGTAAAGCTCCACTCTGAGTCCCGACGGCAAGGATTTTCTGGACGGGGTCGAATGCCATAGAGGAGGGCTGAAAGGGGAAGCCATGGCGCACAGTCTGAGAATCAAATCAGAAGAGAAAAATGTTTTAAAAAGCACGTAATGTAAAGCTTCAGGACATAAACACTACAGTAATTTACTTCAGAAAGTCAGCAATCAAACTATTTAAAAAAAATTATAATGTATTTTATGAGATATTTTATTTATATTTTACTATTTATTTATTTTTAATTATTTGTTTTAATTTTATTTACCCATTTTATCTATTGTTTTATTTTATTTATCCATTTTTGCTTATGATGAATGCTTCATCATTTTTAATGTAACAGATGTTTTACACAGTGTTGTTATTGTTAACTTAAACTAATACAATTTAAAATAAAATATTGGTAATTAAAATAAAGCTGAAATAAAAACAAATACTAAATGAAACCTTTTTAAAAGGCAACATTTTTAATTTTTGTGAAGATGAAGTGCTAAACCTACTAAAACTGAAGTAAAATTTTAAGCTAAATAGAAATATGGGGGGGGGGGGGTTTAAGGGAACTAATAAAAATATAACAAAAGCACATAAAAATACAACAGCTTGAATATGAACAATGAAAATCTAAAAAAACTAAAGCTAATCCAAAATACTACTAAATACTAAAATAGAATATAAATAAAAAATTTAAAAAAGATTTTACATAGTATTATTTTACATAGTATTTACATTATTTACACTCTTATATAATGATTTGAAGGATAGTGGCAAAGCATTGTGTATGTGTGCAGTCAAACATCCCTTCAGGGACAATTCAATATCAATTTCAACGGAATATATCCAACTATTTAAATACCCAGCCCTTTGAACTGCTCGAACGATCCTGATGTGCTATAGATAGACAAAAACAACAGGCAGTGAGAATAGAGACCTTGCTGAATTGTATCCAGAGAACAACAATGGTTGGCTACAGGTTTACAGCACTGGCCTCTGCTTAACAGCTGTCAGTGTCATCGTCTCACCCGGTCTGTGTATTAAAACCTAGAGGGTGCCTATATTGAGAGCACTTCTGAGCATCAAAACGCACCTATAATGCGGTCTAGCTAGGCAGCTTACTGTGTTTGGAGACACAGCCTCTGTCTCTGTATGTTTGTTTAGTGGCTAAAGCCGGTTACGTAAGCGGCGCTCACGGGGACGGGTACCTGTCGGAGAGCTGCGCAGCAGCAACAAGCTTCACTTCATCCTTCCCCATCTCTCTCATTTCCTTTTCCATCTTTCTACTAATTATGTATATCTCTACTAATTAAATATGAACCTAATCCAGCGTTCGTATGTGTCAATTTAATTTCAACCTGACAAAAATACCAAAGCCTGTGTAAATGCACTCATGTAACCTCGTTGCAAATTATTAAATTAATGGTTATTAATTAGAGAGTAGTATTTTAAGAAACTGTATTAATATCGTGCTTGTCACCATTTTTCTAAAAACTGAATGAATATTTACGTCAAAATTCCCCACAGAAATCATTCTATTCAGAAATCATTTAGCGCTTGATAATAACATACTTAATGATAATGCCATGTAATCTCTTGAAAATAATTAATGTTGAAAACATTCTCCATAGAATAATTATTAGACAGCGTCGTCAGGATTCATTTTTTTTCTGCCTTCAAAGACTGACAACAGCGCGAGCAAATAGCATTCCAGTGCAGGCTGTGAAGAAGCCGTTTATTGGTTGGATCTACTGTACGAATACGCCCACTTCTATGAACGAGTTTTGTTTGGACTGAACGAAATCAATGCATTCGTTTGCCATTCGTGATTGTATGCTGAAAACGAGGCAAGGATGTTATTGTAAATTTATTAGTATTAACTGATAAAATAATTCCCAGCATTCGACAAAATGGAGGCTAAAATGACAATTATGCGGTCATTTGGGATTTTTGTAGCGTCTCAGCATATTTCTAGATAGTGTGATTTGTGAAGGACTCGGTGTTCAAATGAATCAGTTGAGTAAATGATTCAATGGCTCACTCATAACACAAAAGGCACTTGTCGCCACCTACTGTAGCCTATAACAAAGTAACCTATAGTAATGTTGACTGAACGAATCGATTTAATAAACTGATTTCAAATTTTCTAAAAATTGAATTCATAAAAACAACTTAATTTATTAATTTGTATACAATAATAGGGCCCTATGAAATTTTTTTTTTATTTACTTATTTTTTAGAAATTCTGTGCTGTGTATTTTAACTTTTCTGGTAATCAAATGAAGGCGAAGACATTAATCTATCTTTTATTCCAATGAAAATGATGTTTAAATGAAGTTTACGATGTAATGAGCAATTTCACGGAATTCGTCAAATATTGAATGAATAAATCAAATGCAATTCAGTACACTTCAATCAAACCGCGATATGGACTAGTGTATGTGAATATTAAATGGCAAAAATACAATTTAGCTACTACAGACGACAACCGCGAGCGGTGCGCGTGCTTAAATAGCAAACTAGCAAACGAAACGCGCGTCTGCGCCGTTCATTCCGTCACGTTCCGCGTTACGCAGTAAATTCCGTTTTTATGAATAGACTCCGGGATTTCGTCCCCATTTTCTACATCGCCCTACTTTTGCTAAGAAGCACGTTCAACGCGGACGCACAGACGGTTGTCGTGGTAATGAACACCACAGCAACCACTTGTGCGTCCGCACTGAACGCGCATCTCGCATATAAACAGCATTTTAGGGGGCCCTTGGCTTTTGGGGGCCCAAGGCGGTAGCCTAACTTTGCCTAATGGTTAAGTCCGCCTCTGATTGGACGCACAGGCTGTGTCTCAAAACCTCGTGATCTGCCTACCTAGATAACATTTTGGGCACCTATGATGGCTCAAAATTATCTTTAGATACACATACTGTACAGTGTGTGTGTGTGTGTGTGTGTGTGTGTGTGTGTGCTCAAAGAGAGTCAAGAATGGTGCTGGTTTCGAAGAAAATACCAGCAAATCACACGTTAATCCCACCACAGTGCATTATGCAAGAAACGGGTTGTTTATATCCCCCCTCCCTCTACTCAAGCATCGCAGCTTCATTCTATAACCACATAACATTCAGACGCTTCAATAAAGTAGCATGTTTAATAGTGAACATTATATAGTGAACATTATATAGTGAACATTATGGGGGGGGGATTATGGCCAGCAAACGTAACCGTGTGGGTATAAACGAATCTTTGTGTCACGCATGAATATTTTACGCATTTGTGCGCATTTTCCAAACACAGAGTCAGCTCTTTCCACGCACAGCTTGTGGGGGAAAAAAACATTTAGTCTGGGTTTGAGGGGGCAGAGTATGATAGTACAGTGTGTAACATTATATAGGCTAACCTATACGAGCGTTTTAATGTATAAAAACGCATTCCACCGGTGCGCAATCAAAAGATACTGGACACTGTTGTTCGCAATAAAACATACGAATGACATCATAACGCTTCCATACAGATTAAAGTTAGTTTTTTTCATTAGCTACAACATTATGTGATGCATCCCATCTAGCTACTAACCAGAAAAGACACGTATCTATATTCTACTAGTATATATTCTAGTAAACCTGTGGATAAAGTGTATGTGTGTGCATGCACTAAGTGGCACTTGCGCGAGGTGTATTTAAGAAACACACACACACACACACACACACACACATCAGGTGATGTTACACATTCACTTGAAAGCTTCCCCACCTTGCAGAGCTGGAAGTGTTCAGACTGGAGTGTCTCCGGGATGAGCTCGTTCTCCTTGGCCCCGAGTTGCGAGGATGGAGAAGGGGACGACACGGCCGTCAAGCCGTCCAGCACCTTACGGATATTAAACTTCTTCATTTTCCCCCCAGTGCGAGTGACGGAGGGGGACGGGAGCACCCGAGTCGAGATCAGCCGTGGATGCTGATGAGGAAAGCCGCTCTCGCTCGTTTCTGCAGCACGTCTCTTTAAACCTCACATTTTAAGTGTTCGCCGTGTCCTCCATGGCTAAAGGCTTCGGTTTTGAACGTTGATTTTGTTGATGTTGTTTTTTATTAGCGTTTGTGGAGTGTCCGTTTATTCTGACTCGGCGTCCTGCTGCGTCGCAAATTCCCTCTATCCTCTCTCCCACTCTCTCTCTCTCTCGATCCCTTCTGCTCTTCACTCAACGCGGAAACATCGCTGCAGCGCCGCGCATGCGCACTCCAGACTGAATGACTGTTGAAGCTGCCTTCCAAACGTTTTTCCCGGTGACCAGGCAAGACTGTGGAGCGCTGAGTGAGACTAGCGTCACATTGCAGAAATGAGGGGCGGGACTCTGCACCTGAAACCGCAGGGGCGCAGAATGGAAAACGCATCAGCTTCTCTAGCTTGATCAGTTCATCAGGTTACCCTGCACTCTGTAAAATGGATTAGATAGGGCATTTTCTCTTATCTTATTTTATTTATTTATGATATGACTATTTTTGAAAGTTATCTTCTCTATAGGCACATACCTCACAGTCTTGGCTACCACAAGCTATCCATGGATGTTCTCTATAAGAAACACGGTCATGGAAAATCTGCACATTTCAGGGAGTTTCAAAACTGTAATATAAACTGCCTACATATAAAATGATTCACAGAAATTTCTTGAGACTATATACATTTCTAGTTATAGTCAGCTCTAAAATATTTAATTGGGTTGAAGTCAATATTACATATATATATACAAAATCGTATGTAATCTGAATAACTGTAAAATTCATGGCAAAGTGTGTGGAGTGCTGCAAAAAGATTAATTGAACACGTTGATCATTTATGACATTTCCAATAGTGTGTCAGACTATGGGATAAGTTGTCACAATGGAAACTGCCATTAGATAACATTTTATTGTAAACAGCATATTATTGTATCACTGAAACGTGCATTTTCTGTAAAGCTGCTTTGAAACTATTTGTATTGTAAAAAGCTTAATAGATGTGAATTGATTATAGTCTTTAAGCTACATTTAAACAGGACAACTATTCAAGATAACAAAAATATTCAATTGTTTTTGCAAAGGAAAACTGCAAGTGTATCAAATGTATTTATAAAAACACACTCTTGTCTGAATGTATATCAGTGTGGCTTCATTGGGTTAAATTGTTTACACAAAAGCTGTAACTATAAATATGGATATGCAAATGTTAGTTTGGAGGATATCATTTCTCATTTAGAGTTTGAAATCAACATGAATCCACCATTAGAGAAAACAATAATTTGTGCAATTGCAATTAGACTTTTAACTAGACTTATAATCTGAAAACCGACCATTATACAGGTTTGCCAACTATCTAGCTCTGTGTTTACTTTGGTATGTCTGATTTGAGATAGAGAGGGTCAGAAAGTAGAGGTCACAATGGCTCAACAATCAGTCTTGCCACTGCTGTTTAGGAGTGCGTCGCTAGTAATTGATTCGGACATGTGCCCTTGTTTAATGAAGGCCAAGTTTACTCTTTGCGATCAGCAAGCAATGCTTTTCTGGTTGAGGCCAGTTTGTCTCTGTCGATGAGATGATATTAGAATCTATCATATCATCGACAGAGACAAACTATAGATATCATAGTCATCCAATGTTAGTTTTTTTAAACCTATAGGACCTTGCAGCAAATTACAATGTTATAACTCAATAACAGAAAAATAACTGCTATAAATGTAAATAATATCTAAATAAATTACCCCAAATAACATTTCCCCTTTTTTTATAATATACAGCATTTCAGAGAAGTGTTTTACAAATACATATCCTGGGTCTGTTATAGTTTAAGATTTAAATAAAGAAAGGTCCCTGTAGGTCAACCAGCACAGCATGATGCTAGCAAGCCCAAGGTTAAGGGTTTAAATCACAGGGAATAAACAAACTAAAAAATGTTTAACTTGGATTCAGTTGTAAAGGATAAAATCATCAATAAAAAGCCAATGCATACATGTAAATTTAGGATCACTGCTCACGGTTTAGATTACATATCATAACAAAATAGGGTATTATGGTCTGAATAGTGACTTTAAAAATTTAGTCATAGTATACGTAAATAACGTCACCTAGTACCCATGACAACCACACTGATGAAGACAAACACTAGGCCTTCACCGAAGGTTTGGAGATCCCTTTGATTCTCTACCCTTTCATACTGTAACGATGGAGATAAGCATCACATGCATTTCCTTATCAGGCCCTGGGAGAGGCTGAAGAGAAGAGACCCTGATAAGGTAAGGGCCGTCCTCATGTACGTATGAGGCACTGACCAATCACCTGCTCGCTACAAACACAAAACACTCCATAAACCACACACTGGAACATCAATGACTTCATGTTTCTCAATCACACTGTTCCCTTTCATTCATGATAATAAAGAGAAAGAGTTTAGTATTCAGCATTAAGTGGGTATGGGATTTGTAAGCTTTGATAAGACCCTCTCACTGATGAATATTTGGTTAGTTCGCTAAGGAGGGGCCAGAGTTTACAGAAGCATGACTAAAGCAAGGTGATCGCTTGCTGGCATTGGTGTCATTCAAGAAGCCACAAACCCCTCTAATTATAGATGCAGCATTGCGATTTAGCGTGCACCAGTGCATATGACCACAATAAAAAAAAAAAAATTCTTTTAAGATGTTCATTATTTAGTCATATCACCATATTTTAGTGATGTTTAATAAAAATGTAAGGTTTAAAAATGTATAATTTCCATATTTGATATGTGTGATAAATACAGGGTAATTATCTGTCTAAATTTTAAATATTCTGTGATATATATATATATATATATATATATATAACTTTGTAAATTTATTAAAAATAAAAAACTGAAATAAGTACATTGTATACGTATTAATACCCTTAACTAAATATTTAGCTGAAGCACCTTAACAACCAATCTTTTTTTGTTTGATGCAACAAGCTTTGCTCATCAGCATTTTGCAATTATCTGCCATTCTTCACCTCACCTGTTCACTTCTCAAGCTCTGTCAGGTTGGATGGGGGCAGATGAAAATTTTCAGGTTTCTCCAGAAATATTTGATCAGGTTCAATCCCAGGTTGTGGCTGGGCCACTCAAGGACATTCACACAGTTGTCTATAAGCCACTCTTGCTGTGTGCTTAGGTTCATTGTCCTGTTGGAAGGTGAACCTTCTGCCCAGTCTGAGGTTCTGAATGCTCTGGACTGGGTTTTCATTAAGGCTATCTCTATATTTTGCTGCACTGAGCATTTCTTCTACTCTAACGAGTCCCTCAGTCCCTGCCACTGAAAAACAGCCCCACAGCATGAGGCTGCTACCAGCACACTTTACTTTTGGGATGGTACTCTGCAGGTGATGAGCGGAGCTGGTTTCCTTCAAACATGATGCTTAGAATTGAGGTTCATCAGACCAGAGAATATTGTTTCTCAGAGTCTGAGGGTCCTTTAGGTGCTTTTTTGTAAATTTCAAGTGTGTTTTCATGTGTCTTAACTAAAGAGAGTGGAGTGTTGCAGCGATGTTTGACCTTCTGTAGATTTCTCCTATCTCCACATATGATCATGGAGCTCATCTAGAGTGACCATCAGGTTCTTGGTCACCACTCAAACCAAAGCCCTTCTCCATCAATTGCTCAGTTTGGCCAGGAGGCCAGCTCTAGGAAGAGTCCTGGTTGTTTCAAACTTCTTGCATTAAGGGTAACAGAGACTACATGCTTCTGTGACCCTTCAATGAAGCAGAATTTTTTTTTAAACTCTTCCACAGATGTGTGGTTTGACGCAAACCTGTTTCTGAGCTCTACAGACAGTTCTTTTGACCTCAGGGCTTAGTTTTTGCTCTGATATGCATTATCAGCTGTCAGACCTTTTATTAAGACGTGTGTGCCTTTCCAAATCATACCCATTCAATTGAATTTGCCTCAGGTTAACTTCGCTTGAAGTGTCTACAAGCAAAATTAATGCTCCTGAGCTAAATTTCAACTGTCCCAGGTATGAATACTTATGCAATGGAATTATTTTAGTTTTTTATTTTTAATAAATTTGCAAAGATGTTAAAAACCTGTTTTTTTGCTTTACAATTATGTATCTCACAACTGGTTTAGTAAAAATATTTTCATATTATTTTTGATGTATTTATTTATCGCTATAGCATCATAACTCTATAGAAATTATTATTTTAAAACCTAAATTATATTACATTTATAATTCACATCTCTATTTCTCCCTTATCAAAAATATTACCAAAAAATATAATATAATATAATATAATATATATATATATATATATATATATATATATATATATATATATATATATAAATATATGTGAAAATTCTATGTGATCTTCTCTGCATCACCAGAAAAACTGAATTCATTACAACCTGTGATGTCAATTGTCTGTTCAATCTAATTAGATGTCACTTTCCCTTTGGCATGCTTAGCCCCACCCCTTTTTAACCCAGGCACCTATTTTATTCAAGCTGATGATGATTGCACAGCGATTGTATGCTTTATTTCATAATCAGAAGGCTCATGTCATCATTATTTTGTTTTGATGACCTCTAACAAGTTATGAATAATTCATAAAGTGTTTCAATATGCAAATATACGTCTTCTGTGATTGAACACAGGGGTTTAAACTGAGGGAAATGTAAAGTGTGTTTGAACTGCATTATAAGGAACAGTGTATTCAAATTAATCCACCCTAATCCTACAGAGGAAAGACTGGATGTGACATGGCTTTAAAGGGACATCATTAAGACTATAATAACAAATAAACTCACACATCTACACACACATACACACACACACACACACACACACACACACACACACACACACACAAAACACGTCTTAATAACAATACATAACACGAGATATATATCTATTT